TATAATTTTAATAAGATAATCATTAAAATAAAATGTTTTAAATAATGTCGATTTTCAGTCTTTGAGACGGTCACCCATCCAAAAAAAAATGTGTTTTTAATTAGTAGTTAAAATCAAATATGAACATTAATTTTGAAAAAAATTGTATTGACAAAAAGCCGATTTTCTACAATGTCAGAAAAATGTTTAGATGGTCACCCATCCAAACAATATATTTATAAATAATAAAATATACACCTAATAACAATATTATTATTATTAAGCAATCACTAAAAATTTAATTTATTTGGGTATATATTTTATGGCATTAAGACGACTGTAAATGGCAACATGTCACCGTTCGATATGGCAACGTCAAATGATGAGCAGGTGCGTCTAGCGCGTAAAATAAATTATTATGTAACACAATAATATTATAAAAGTAATTTTATTATTATTATTATTTTACTGCACCTATTTACCCTTTCAGTCCCGAATTTTTTTTTTTAGGTAAAAAAATGTTTTCTTCATATTTTTATTTTATATATTCTATAAATAAGTTATTGTTAAAATTTAAAATTTTTCACATTACCCCTTCCCAAAAAATTTGTGATGTATATTATAATGTACAATGGGACTTGCCATCATAAAAAATAAAAAAAAATTATTATTACAAATGCATATTTATAATTTTAAAAATTAAAATAATACCTTATAACAGTCGTTCAAAATTAAAATAATAGCTTATACCTAAAAGTTATTAAAAATATAAAGTAAAATAAAATATCAAATATCAAATATCAAATACAAAGTTAATTGTGAAAATCAAAAAAACAGTTATTTTTTGTCGTAAAACATAAATGAACGTTACATTTTATACAATTCACGTGTGTTCTTCCTTTGCAACCTTCATATTTACATCGCGTGGCTTCTTTTCTTCCATCAAGCTATGGTAAGTGACCGATATTGTCATGTTGAATACTTGATAAAGGACGCGAGTCTATTTTTTTTTTTTCAAGCGGTGAAAATAATTTTTTTTGAAGATTTGGGGATGTGCGTGACGACGGGCGTCCTACTTTTCTCGAAGGTGTAATTACAGTTTTCCCCAAAAGTATCAATTCTTTAGCCAATCTCATCCTAAATCCAAGTAAATCTAATGTATCTTTCTTTTTATTTTTAATTGTTTTGCGTCATTGATGTACTCTAACCACGAGTTACTTACTGCCATTTCAAACGCGTGGCTAACCATTCTGAGTGTCCATTTTTTTGATTTTATGAAACATCGATATAAGCTTACGAGCTGATCATGTTTATCTACACCACCCATCGTATTATTATAATGACCTACTATTTCCGGTCGCTCGATGTAGACATATTTTTTATTTATTCTGTCCTACCTTTTTATTGTATCAACTTTTCCTGAGGCCACAACATTCGAACATAAATTTATGGGTTTATTGTCATACCATTTTACTAGTCCTAAATTTACGTCTGGAATGTCTGAACTTATTTCAAATGTTGTCCCACTTCCCATTTTTTTCATTTCTTTATCCGACAAAAATGGTGGATTGCTGAAAAGATTTGTACGTATTGTACCAGTCGCATAAATTTGTTTTTTTTGCAAAGTGTAAAATAAATTGAACGATGTAAAAAAATTGTCCATTGTCAAATAATGACAATTTGGCTTCAGGTTTTCCGTTAAACTTATAACAACTGCACCACCTACTCCAAAAGTTTTTTTTAAATCATCGTCGACTTCGATCATATTATATCCTTGGTATAAAATTAAATTATACACTAAGCCACTTTGGCCGCATAATAGATATGTTTTTATTCCCCAAGGATTTGGTTTACCTCGAATATATTGCTTTACTGATAAATGTCCTTTGAATGGAATCATCTGTTCATCAACCGATAAGTTTCTTTCCATTGGAATTTCTAAACATCTTTTTTTAATTATTTCAAAAAGTGGACGAATTTTAAAAAATTTATCATTGTTGTTTTTCGGAATCTCCATATTGTCTACAACGTGAAAATGTGTACGAAGACTAAAAAATCGGTTTCTGGGCATAGTTTCTGCAACTAAATTTATATAGGTATCTTTTTCCCAATACATGCGTACTCTAGGCATCTTTAAAGCACCCATAACCATATGTATTGCAATAAAGTCTCTAATTTCAGACGAAGTAGTAGGTTTGAATCGTGTTGAATTTTGTTGAGTTGCGTATGAATTAGTAAAATAGGCCATTTTATCAAATTCTTTATCATCAAAGTATTTTGAAAAGTAATATATAGGATCATACAAATAGGTTGGCGGTTCGGCTTCATTTAAATCATTTAAATTAATTGAAGGTGGGGTAAATGGTTTTTGCTGCCATTTAATTTGGTTTTTTTGTAAAGTGAAATATTTCGAATTACTAATAGAGTCAACATTACCATCTTCCTCAATGTCTTCCGAATCGGATAAAACGAAATCCTCTTCTTCGTCAAACTCGGCTAGTAATTTATCAATTTCTTCCACGTTTTCGTCAACATCACTGTCTTCTAAACTAGAGATGTTCCGGGTAGACAATTTGTTATTAAACCGGGTACCGAGTAATGGCCGAGTAAAATTTAAAGTACTAACCGGGTATCGAGTATTGGCCGAGTAAAATTTAAAGTACTAACCGGGTATCGAGTATTGGCCGAGTAAAATTTTAAGTACTAACCGGGTATCGAGTATTGGTCGAGTAAAAATTGTAATACTAACCGGGTATCAATCATTGACCGAGTAGAACTATTAATACAAAATGGGTATCGACTACTATCGAGCATTGGCCGAGTAGAAATATAAAATATACAAAATGAGTAGGAACTATACTACAGCAAGGCATTATCAAGTATCAAGAATCAAGTATCGAGTATCAATTACTGATTGAGAAATTATTAATAATATTAATTATTAATTAAGTCTTTAAACACTCAATACTGGTACTGGGTAGTTGTACAATTTAATAATAAATAAAAATAAAAAATAAAAGATTTGTGAAATATAATAATAATAATAATTATTATTATAATAACAATTATAATTTATAATTTAATAACAAAAATAAAACTAATATGAGTATGAGTATGTACTCAGCCAACACTAATACAAATTAGTACACTATTAGTTTAACACTAATACCAGTTGTTTGGAATTTAGATATTTAGCAATAACTATGGACGATTTTGTTCAATAGATAACAATATTGAATAATGAATAATGTAATTTGTAACTAAAAAGTCAAATGTAAATACTAAATAATAAACTAATAAATACCACACAATGAACATTTATAATTTAAAATATCTGAATGTTTGAAGTCTTTAAACAGTTTAAACATAAAAATAAAACTTAATAGTTAATAGTTTAATAAAATTTAACAATTTATTAATAAAAAACAAATTAAATTAGAATAGGTACCCTGTCAGTAATTAACAATATTATCATTTTGCAATAAAATTTATTTATATTATGATGAATGAACAAAAGTTGTTCAGCATTTTGAGGCTGAAGTCTATTTCTTTTAGCTTCATACACTAATCCTGCCTCTGAAAATGACCTCTCAGAGTAAACACTGGATGCTGGTGCTGACAAATATTTTTGTAAAAGTAATTTATTTCCAATAAATGAAAAACTTTCAAAATTCATTTTCCACCAACTTAATGGATCATCATCAATGGAAATACATTTCATGTTACAATATTTCTCAAATTCAACAACTAGATCTTTATTGAAATGATTGTAGTCATCCAAATCTGTGTAGTTAAGAGAACTATGCACTTCAGTTTGGTTAATATTTGATGTTGTTGCAATTTCTTTATAAAGATCCCATGATGATTCACGATTTCCAGCATTCCGATTTTCTACTTGAGATATAATATTATTAGTAGGTTCATGTTCGATATTTGAATTAATATTGTTGAATTTGGATATAATTTGTAATATTATTTTCTTCATTGTTTGTTTATTTTCTGGTTTAAAAAATAACAACTTAAACCTTGGATCCAAAAATGTGGCTATAATAAGGTTCTCATCTTTAATAACTTTTCCAAAACGCTTTAGAAGACGAGTGAGCATAATATCCTTAGTAGTCCCAACTCCAAAATGAGAAGTGTTAGGTCGATTCAAAAAAGTATCTAACATTATAATAACAGGGATAACTTCACTAATAATAGATTTATTTGAACTTATACGTTTTGTGAGCTCCTCAAAAGGCTTTAATAAATGTATTAATGATTCCATTAATAACCAATCATTGGGGTTAAAAGTCGGTAGAGTCGATTCAACATCACATATATATACTAAAATGGCGGTTTTTAATTGTAACAATCGTTCCAACATATAAAAACTAGAATTCCACCTGAAAAAAATAACTATTGTTAATTTGATTTGTATTTTTAAATTTTTACTTTATGGACATAGTTGGTGTTATCAGTTATCATTTATCTATATTAATAAGGGAGACATATTTATTAAAAATTAATGAGCAGTGTGCTTTGAATACAAAATGGGTAGATAAAATTAAGATATATTATTAAAAAAAAGAATATATTGTTTTAACTTTGTATTTAATATTTATACCAACCTAGTGCAGATATCCTGAATAAGTTTCTTAGGAAGAATACCAAGATTAATTTGAATAGACTTAAGTTTATCAGTAGCAGATGAAGAATGGTGAAAATGTGTAGACACTTTTCTGGCACGAAAAATTAAGTCTTGAACAGATTTTTGACTCTTTATCGATTCCGTTACAAGAAGGTGTATAGTGTGTAGAAAGCAACCAAAACTGCATAACGAAGCATTATCAGAACCTTTTTTCATATTAGCTCCGTTATCTCTAAAAAAAAAATAATACATTATACGGTAGTTTAAGAATATATGGAATTTCTACTTCCTAGGCAATGTAAGCCAATGTTTTTTTAACCATTTTTTGTGATTTCAATTTAAAATGGCTTAATATTATGTAGTTTTTTTCCACTTGACACTCACCGTACTAATAAATGAATTTTTTTTCTAAATCCCATTCCTGCAATAGTCTTTCTAATGTGTCTTTAATGGCGATACCTGTATGTCTTCCAGGGAAGTGTCTAACATTTAAAACACAATGTTGTTGTTTCATATCATCAGAAATCCAATGACAAGTAAAACTTATAAAACTTTCATTGTTGTGACTACATGTCCAAATATCAGATGTAAGAGATACAGTATGAACCTGCTTCAGCATATCCATAATTTTTAATTTAAGTTCCACATACATTTCTGGGATAATATTTTCAGTAAAATATTTGCGACCCGGTAGCTAAAAAAATAAATTTACATTTATTTATTATTTTATATAATAAAAATAGTAACCAACTTACTTTATACTGTAGTTTAACAAGTTCCATGAGTTTTTTAAATCCTGTTCGTTCAACTATATTACAATATGGTTCATTATGAACACAAATCATTTCACCAATAGCTTTATGAATTGTTTTGGATTTTTTATCATTTATATCCCAACATTGTGTTTTAGTCATTGATTCATAAATAGAGAGTTGATGTTGACTCTTAAAATCATGTACAATAGCAGATTTATTATTTAAATTCTTTTCGGCTTTTTTTAATTCCTTAAAATAATAGATTCAAGATATTAATATAGTACTTTTTAAATTGTATAACCATTAACCATAAACGAACCATTAACCAACTATAGTTTTTTAGTTATAATAATTTCTTAACTTACTTCAGATTTTAACAATTCTTTGTACAGTTGTTTATTTTTAGATTCTAAGTGTTTCCTCATGGAGGAAGTAGTCATCTTTTTTCCCAAACCTTTGTATACCTTTTGCTTGCATTTTATACAAATAGCTCTACTCAGGTCACATATAGACTCTTCAAAATATTCCCAAATTAAACTTAGCTTCTTTGTTTTTGATAATGGCTCTAATAAAATATAAAATAAATAAATAATACCTAATTAACAGAAATACATTTAAATAGACAAATAGGTACCTATTATTTATTAAGGTAGGTACACAGGAATAATGCTCCAATTATTAGCAAACATTCATAATTCAGTTATTCTCTCAATTGTTACTTTACAGTTTACAATTTTCAATTGGTTTAATAAATTTATGGACTATTTAATATAATATTTATTATGTGCAAAAAAATTCATTTTATTAGTTATTGTAAATGGCTAAATTTTGGTTAATACTTTAATAGGTATTTGGTTGGTCGATAACCCTGTATATAATGTGTTATATGGTTCCTATTTAAGTATTTATAATCGTTTTATTTTAAAATAGCTCTTTATTAAAAATGTAAAATTGAGATATATATAAATAAAGAATGAATGTGTGATTTTTAAAGCTACAAATCCCAGGTAATAAAACAAATAAAAAATAATAGAATGTAATAATTACATAAAATGTATTACGTACCGATACATGTGCCTTCCTCGTCCTCGGTCACGTCCATTGGATTCATTGAATTGATTAAATTAAAAAAAGTTAATATTCTTTAATATCAAGGAAGGAACTTATGAAGTATCTATTAAACAATTAAAATAAACAAACAATACTAGAAAAATAATACAGACAAAATGAGTGTGTCGTGTAGATGTGCAGAACTGTAGACTGTAGAGTGATTACTGGTTATCCTACTTGCAACTAAGAATATTTGTATAAGAATAATTTATATTTTAATTATTTTATAATGGGTATTTATTGCAGATTGTTATCTATAAATTTATATATAAACACAAGATTTATTTTTGTAATCCGTAGAAGAACAACATGATTTGTTTACAATAAACTGGCGATTGTAAATCGGTTCAGTTATTCCAATAAGTACTAAAATAAATTATAATTTATAACCCTAGAATTTTAGGTTTTTCCCGTTATTTTAATTACTGGTATGCATATGTTTATGTATAGATTATCAGCCGGTCAAGTTGAGAAAAAATGTAGTATTTCGCCGGGTACCGAGTAAGGGCCGGGTAAAGATCTAGGTATTAGGCCGGGTACCGAGTAAGGGCCGGGTAAAAATCTAGATATTAGGCCGGGTGAATCCGGTGCAGATGCGTACGTCTCATTTGCGTACAGTCTATTTTTAGTTACAAATTTTCTCACTTGCGTACAATGTAATTACCCAGAATAACACCAAGTGTCATTTGGTCAGGCTTAGGACTGGCAGAATATTTTGCAATACTCTGGCGTGTTTAAAAATGAGGGCGCGCGAATAAATACGTAGCTAACCCTAAATGTAAAATATAAAATATAATTGTAATAAGTATAGTTCAATATAATATAATAAGTAATTAATATTAAATGTAAAATGTATAATAATATAGTAAAATTTAATCTAATTTGACGATTATGGCCAATTTTTTGAGGCAATTGTCTAAGTCGTTATTTTCTAAAAAGTTTTGAGTAATACGTTTAATTCTCTCGTCCAATTTTATATATTTTTTGTTTCGTTTAGTCCCTTCTAAATTTAATTCAGCGCGTGAAAACGGGTGAAATGTACTCTTGAAAAATCAACATTACACGGATCTCGTTTTAAATTAAAATATTTCAGCTTATAATTTCCAAGTCCACAATATCCTCTTAATAATTCCGTCGAGAAAAATGGGGCACCGTAAATGTCCGGGAAATAATAAGGCGGACTGTAAAAATCCGGAATTTTTCCGTAATGTCACGGACCGTAAAAATCCGGATAAAAAATCCATGAAACGTAAATATACGGACCGTAAATTTACGGAATTCAAAAATATTGAACCATAATATCACGGACTGTAATGTCCCGGACCTTAAAATCCCCGAATGCAAAAATACATGCTTCGTAAATATATCACGGACCGTAAATATCCGGAATTTGCTAATGCGACATTAGCGCTATCTAGCAGCATACATAATTATTTGTTATAGAAATACTATTTACCATTTGATTTTACAATGATGTATGTATTTTTTAGTTTTCACCACCCACCCCCACCCACCTAGCCCACTCATAAACAGTTCTGAGGAACTTTCCCCAGTTGATACTCGTGTTTGGCCCCACTGTGGCTTAGGGCCGTAAAACTGCTTCTATTTTCTTCAACAGTATCTTGATCGATGAGAAAGTAAATCTATAGTTGGTGAATTGGAGGGGTTGAAATTTAAAATTTCCAACAGTTTTAAAAAGTGCAGGAAAAAAAACAAAATAAAATTTAAGGAAAAATGGAAATTTCTTCCCAAAATTGATTTTGTTTTTTGGTGTAACTCTAAAACTAATTACTGTAGAATGTAGATACATGACATTTTCACTGAATATTTATACTATCATTTTCCATACACCATACACTTTCAAAATATTTTGACTTGTTCTTTTGAGCTGCTTACGGACATCTACAGTTTTTAATTTTTTTTCAATTTTTTTTCTATATAATATGTCCATACAATTTTATTCGTTGGGTTAAAAAGCTTGAAAATTTAAAGCAAGATTCCTGATATATTGTTAAAATAGCAGTAGAAAATTATTAAAAATGCTAATGCATAAGAACAATTTTTTTTTATAAATATTTAAACTTCAAATTTTGACAATATCCATAATTGTACCCAGTTATAAAAACATAAAATATTCAATTTTTATAGCTAAGTATTGAAAATTTAAAACAAAGATTCTAATAAATAGTTCATACTATAACCAAAGATATATAAATGATATAAAAACATAGTTATTTTTTACAGAGATTTTAAAATCAAATTTCGATGAAAGTACATATTAAAAGTTAAAACTAAGAATAACGATTTTAGTTATTTTGTTCTAGTTTAAAAATATTTCTCGTGTATATATGACACTTGTATAGTGTATTATTATATTTAATACACAAAATAACATTTTCAAATACTAATGCCTAATAATACAATTATTAATTACTTTAATCACAATAATATCATAAGATATACCTACTTAGTACTTGGTAATATTATAGGCTCAAGGCTGACAGTCCGTCTTTTCTCTGAACCGTTATTCCTGCACAATGGTTTTATACTTTTATATCATTGCGTTCAAATTTAACATCACCCGCTTGTAACCTACTGTACAGCAGAGCGACATCCACTTACCCACATTTTTATATTGTTATTCGTAGAATTAAAATATTTTCGTTGCTTCAATACCTATCCTAGTATTCTACGAGGGTGGGCTGATAAAACGATAAGTAATGCCTCTTGACGCGTAGTTTTATAAGTATTATACATAGAATAATTAATGAAAAACACACGTATAGTAATTTAAATGATTTTTATTAACATACTATTATTTTTCAACATAACTACCTTCTAAGGCGATACATTTTTGCCAACGATTTACTAATTTAGAAATGCCTTTCAAATAAAATTCTTCAGGTTGAGTAGTATTGAACCATTGTTTAACTTCAGCTTTAACTTTCTCGTCAGAATTGAATTTTGTAATCTTGAGATGTTCTTTAAGTTTAGGAAACAGAAAAAACTCACATGGTGCCAAATCCGGGCTGTAGGGTGGGTGTGGAATGACTTGAAATCCCAGTTATTTAATTGCTGTCATTGTTGCACGGCTGCAATGAGGTCTCGCGTTTTCGTGATGAACCAAAAGTTGGGTTAAATTTGGTCTGACACGATTAATCCTTTTTTCACCTTTTTTAGTGTCTCTATGTATCGTATAGAGTTTATTGTTGATCCTTTCTCTAAGTATTCAGTGTGGATCACACCTTTTGAATCCCAAAATATATAAAAAGCTGGTAAGTAGATGTCGCTCCGTTATACAGGCATACAGTAGGTACTAGGTGAGTCATTGTATAATGGATTGTATTAAACTTGAATTCAATGACATAATATCATTGTATAAAAAAAACGATTCTGAGCGGAGACGGTTTGTCAGTCTAGATATTTTATATTGTAATTATTTATTATATCATGTAAGTGGTAGCACAATATATTTTTCATCGCTTTCACCAATGCAATTCATACACAAATTTATGTTCCCTTGTTGTATACTGCATCAGGATCCTGGAACAGTTGATTATCAGGTATATTATCATGTTCCAATTCCAATTGATTGTCTTTTATTACATTCGAATTACGATTTTGATTAATAGCTTCCTGTGGATTTACAGCATCGGGGACATTATGCGGTACTTGATTCACAACAATAGGAACATCATTAGGTGCTGGATCTGCTGGGAGAACAGGTCCTGGATTTTCGTTGTCTCAGTTCATATGCTCCAGTAACATGTGAGCAGATTTGAAGGAATTGCCATGTTGAAATAAGTCTAAAATCATACTGCTCTGAAGCATTTTTAATTCGTCTACTATTGGCCAAAAATTTGGTTCTCAAATACCTAGTGGGACGCAATTTGTTACGTAGCTGCTGAACAAGAATGTGGTAGTTGCTACTTGTGTTGGTTAAATGTCCTATGAAAAGAAAATTTTTTTTCGAATTTACATAGTATAAGTAATTATAAATATATTTATACTTAGCTGGTAATTCATCTGCCTTTGAAAAAATATACTAGGAGCCTTGTATTAAATTTTCAAGTTTTTTTAACCAACAAATAAAATTTTATTGATATTTATAAAAAAAAAAAAATTAAAAAAATGAAAACTGACAATGTCCGTAAACAGTTCAAAAAGAGTCAAATTATTTTCAAAATTTTACCGTGTATAGAAAATACAAATATAAACAACCTGTGAAAGTGTCATATATCTACGGCCATTTGTTTTAGAGTTACACCAAAAACCAAAAACGATTTTGTTAAAAATCGATTTGCGTAAAAATTCCCGTTTTTCCTTAATTTTCCTTTTGTTTTTCACGTCGCTTTTGAAAACTACTGGGAAATTTTTACTTTTGACCCCCCGAAGTACCAACTAGATTCACTTCCCAATCAGAAAAGTTGCTGTTGAAGAAAATCGAAGCAGTTTTACTGTCCTAATGTCCTAAAAGGTGATGACAGACACAAAAAAAATTTAAAAAAAAATAAATAAAAAAATAAATAAATAAAAAAAAAATTTTTAAAAAAAACACACATCATTGTAAAATCAATACATTCATCGTTCATTCATACATTCATTCATCAGAATCTAAAATATATTTATTGATAATAATACATTTATATTAAATATAATAATTAAAATAGTTTGCTTAACTAAAAATACCCATAAACTTGGATGTGAGACTGAAAATTTCAAATTTTAAAGCATTATGAAAACTCTCTATATTATTGTTGATTCGTCATGGTCATTTTTCGATTTTATCAATAGTTATTTAATGCCACTTGAAAAACCATAAAAAAATTACGAAAAATCGCTAAAAATGGGATTTTAATTTCTAACGCTTTGTTTATGACCATATTAACGAATAAAGCATTATTTAATTATAATATTATAATATTAATTCCACTTACATGATATAATAAATAATTACAATATAAAGCACTTAATAATACATTACAAGAGTTG